ATCCATCGCCAACTCTTGGGCTACACGTTTACCAACGAATAGTGGGATTGACCGTCACATTATAACGCCCCCATGGCTGTAAGGGCGAGAATGTTTGGTGAGACGGGGATTCGAACCCACGACCCGCAGATTGCGAATTGAGCTCCCTAGCCACCTGGCCATGCCGGGCCTATTCATCTTGATAACACAATTCCTCAATGGATATTGTTAATCACAATCTTTATTTATATTTGGAATCCCAATAAAAGTTTTCCAGTGCTGACATTATACCATATGGATGGTCTATGTATATGTCTCATAAACTGTTATTCACCATCACAAACATTTGCACGTTTGATCATTAAATATAATTTTTTTATTATTATCTTCGTTGTGTGAGCTTTAAAATCAAATTCTTTGTTCTAGTGATGAAAATACTCGCCACGAAACTAAAGTGAACTATTCCATTCGTTTCTGCATACTATAAATATTTCATCACAATAAAGACAGGACACATTTAGCTTCGCATGTACATCACTGCCTTTTGTGTTCTTTTGAAGGAATTTAATTTGAATATGAACTCAGATAGTTGGGCATCCATAAATTGTACAAACCCTCAAAAGATGATGGTAAATAGGGAGTATTCCGATTCTTAGGGTTAGAAATTTATAATATATAAGAACATTGTCCATGCATTATTAACACGTTTTTTGCCTTCCAACTTCCGGTTCGTCAAACATTTTTCTACATATGATATGTACTAATACATCGTTTATAACTGTTGGTGTTCCTTATATATATATTATATAAAATCTCTTGGACAGCATTTTTTCATAATCGATGAAAGTTTCATACAACTGATATTACTCATTTTATTTAGTACACACCTAATAACGAGTTAGTTCGATTTTTACCCGAATAAAAGCATGATACGACATGCCATAGAATCCACAAGTTGCTGGAAGCTGTCATTAGTGGATCTTTACCCTTTTAATCATTAATATTGTAAGGAAGTCATGGAGCAAGGCACGTCTCACAGATTCGAATTGGATCGAGATCCTGGGATTATAGTATGGGAGATGCCTAAAGTCTACGTCATGTTTCTCAAACTATGCGCGCACAATTTTGGCATGAAGGACGGAAGCATTGTCGTTTTAGAAGTAACTCTCCCCATCAGCGTACACATGAAACATTGATGGATGCACTTGAACAGATATAATGCTGTGACGTTTATTCTGTCTTTTGAAGGGATCAAGGTATGGCCTGGTGGTTAGGGCACTGAACTCGTGGATCATGGGTTCGAATCTCATCACCTAATATGCTCATCCTTTCAGCCGTGGGAACTTTATAATCTGACGTTGGTAAAAGAGTTGACAGTGGGTGGTATTGACTAGCTGCCTTCTCTCTAGCCTATCACTTCAAAATTAGGGACGGCCAGCGTAGATAGCCCTTGAATATCTTTGCGCGAAATTCAACAAACAAACAAACCTATTGCCGGAAAACATTTGTTTCAACGTTCTTCATAAGCAACGAGTATGGATTGCTCTGCACTTAATGGTTATCAGTTGATCTGTTGTTTGGTGACATTTGGACTTTACCGTCCTGTTTAACTGTCTTTCCTTTGTTTCTGCTTCCGGCCAGAATTCTCCCTCACAGAAGACATTTTAATCAACTTTTGCCATTACTCATAAACTCGAATGACCGATGTCTTGGAGCAGCCTACCAATGAAATTGTATTGACAATTGTGGCACCTGATAGACGTGCACCCACTGCCATGCTATATATTTTTGACTTTCCTCATACGTGTTAGACTTACTGGAAATATGCTTGTCCTAGTCATTTATAGTGCTGCAAGGATCACCTGACACGTATGTGTTCAATCTAATTTTCCAACTGCAGCTCAAGTCAGACCCTACTCTGTAAGGGTACATAAAGTTCTAATAAAGTGGTCAGCTAGTGTATATAAACTCAACAGACGTACATTCTAATATCTAATAGAAAGAGCGCTTAATAGAACAATATCCTTCTAACCTTAATGACTTATTTAATTCCAGTCAATTAGACAAAACAAAACCGTGATGTCGCATGTATATACAAAACACACAAATAGATCTAATATGCAGGCTGTACACATTGCAAAAAGTATAATGATTCTAGCAAAGCAATTGTGCACAGTCGTAGGGCTCCCATAACTCTGGGAATACGCATTCCTTGTATGTGAATTGAAATTATAAGGCTAAATTTGGGAGCGAAAATGAATGCCGACGCCCAAAACGTCCTTTATGTAAAACCACCATTTACTGTTTGCTGCCAGTTGTGAGGAGACAGTTGTTCTTAATGAAATAGAAAAGTAATAAATACAAATAAGTTTTTAAAAGCAAACCACTGGGAGTGAGTAATAAATAAGAATATTTTAAAGCTTTCATTCCAGCTTACATAATGATCACATTCCTGTAATGACAGCATCGTGAAACTAAAAATGAGTTGTAATAATGCCAAACATCATATAATTTTATCATTGCCCATACAGTATAATATTAAACTAGACACTTAGTTGTATAAACAATCATTAGTAACTACTTACAACACATGGTAAGAGAAACAGACCTGGTATGATTAAATAACTGATATAAAAATCTGATGCAACAGTTTTTGTTTTGAAATGTAATTGATATTAATACATTTTATTATAGATATTAATAAAGAATAGTCAATCTTGTTGTTGCAAACCCATCTTATTTAAAACCAACAACTAAAATGTCTATGTTAAAAAGAAATCTTTAATATGCTGATATTATAATATTTTTATGTAAAAGTGAAGTAATGCTACTAACATAATAAAGCAATACTTTGGCTTGGAAAGTAGATTTTCAACGTATCACAGAATTTTTATATTGACAGAATTAGTGTTTTTTTTACGTCTATGTTTTTCATAGCAAAGCCACAGCAAGCTATCTGCTGTATCCGCCGAGGGGAATCGAACCCTCTGATTTTAGCGTTGTAAATTCGTAGATTTACCGCTGTCACACCGGGGGACTTTTTACGTTTAAATCTCAATAATAGGTTTGAGTATTTTATATTGTACTATGTCTTAAACCAATAGAGTATATAAACGAGTAATATATTTATTAATACTCAAACTATTTAAGCTAGTTAGATCATCAGTGTATAATGTATAGTAAAGTAAATAATTTGAGTTTTAAGATTTTTTCATGATCACACTTTTATAAAAATAAAATCTGGACTTGCTATAATTCGCAGAATACATACCAAATTAAGTATATATTCTTCAGATTGAAAAACCCTAATATATTAACAAATAAGGTATTTAATATTTTATTTTTAACAACTTTTAAATTGAGAAGATCAGTTTTAAATTTTCCCTCTTCTGATCGCGTATATATTTATATATGGTGCGTCGTTATCATATAGAGATAACCAAAGCTAACGATTGCATACAATATAATAATAATAATAAAGAACTAATTCTTTACTACATTCAACAGTCATATGAACATAAGTGTCAGCCATATACAAATAAATACCACAAATATATCGACAGTTTTTAATATAGATTCCATATTCCTTAAAATTTCAATCATATATCATAATATATATAACAACGAAAAATATATATCCGTTAGTTGAATTAACGACATAATCTGAAATACAACACCAAGTCTTCTTATCGAAGAATGCAGTAGCACTCTCTATGTAGGGATGGCACGGACGCCTGTATTAAAGCAATACAAAAGTCATCTGGATTTTCTTCTCTACAGGTCACTAGAAGCTAGATATGAAGATCTATCTGTCATAGCTGCTCTATCTGCGGTGTGTATGCCGCTTTTCAGCTATTCAGAGCGTCCGAAGTCGAAAAACGAGATTTCTTATTTTCGTTCATCATAATATTTCTTTAACAGGCTTAGCACCTACCTAGTTCTATAAGTAACTATAATGTTATCATAATTTGATAGAGCAAAACAGTTTTTTATGCCACCCTGGTTGCTCAGCGGCTAGTCTGAGAGCTTATAAGGCTAAAAATCGAGTTTTAACACCCATGGTCAGCAGAGCACAGATAACCCATAATGAGTTTAACAACAAACTAGCAAAAGTTTCTTTTATATATATATATATATACACATTTACTTTAGGAGCTTCTGAAGCACACACACGTTGACCATCCGGACTATCAAGCTCTTGTACTGGCCCAGAAGGAAATCCATGATTTAGCTGTGAAAATTAATCGAATGGAACGAGAAGCTTTTCAGAATGATCAGCTGCAGCAACGGTTGAAAGATATAGGTCAACTAATAGAGGGAGTCATTGATGTAAGTGAATGAATTGTATATTTTCATTACGAAAAGTTTTTTCTTCTTCTTTTAGTTGCAGTTAAGTTTATCATTACTTTTATAAACGTCAAATATGGGTCACGGAGATTATACCAGTAATCGGTGGAAACTCAGATTAGCTCAGTGCCTTATGTTTTAATTAATCCAATTCCTATTGTTGATTGAAAAATACTGTCTGGTGATTGGCAATGCCCTCTAATGGATTAATCAGTAGTTAGCATTCGATTATAATCGCTCTTAGAAAAATTACTATAGGTCGCAGATATCTTAACTACTTCATAAAATTATAGAATTTAATTTGAACCATTTGTTTTGTAACATACATTGTTAACCTGTCGAGTTTGGAAAACTTGTTAGTGGTGATTGTTTTTAAAGAAATGCTTATTTCAGGTTCACTTCATCTTCAGATATCAATGACAGAATTCAGTTGGTGTGAATATCAGATCAACTACTTGTACCAATCAGTTTCTCGTTCAATGAGCAGGATCTAGTGGCTAGCGTTTCCTGATATGAATCCTAGGATTCACGGTTCGCTTCCCGTTGTTACAAAAACGCGCGCAACACTTTTGGACAGTTGTTGCACTCTAAGAATGACCGTCAAATCACAATTTGATATGCAGTTTTTGATAAATGTTAATTTGAAATATCGTGATATTCGTGTTTTTATGAATAACGAAAGAGCTTGTTCTAAATATGATCGTTATCTAAAAAAGTTATAAAAAGTCCCAACTGTGTTTGTATTTGAACTCTAGATTTCCAACTGAGGTTCGGGCGCTTTAACCACTGAGGCACTTTGAGTGTTACTGAGAGTTACCAACAGACAATGACTTTTATATATAAATATTTTATATGTGTGGTGTTTTCAGTTGTCTTTTTCTTTTTACTCACCAGAATGAACCCAAGGTTTATATAGGATGAGTAAAACACATCTAAACACACGTACGTATAAAATACAGTTCACCACTACAATAAGCCTGGTCTTATTTTTATTCTAGGTTATTTACTTATTCTGTTCATGACGTTTGATTTTGTACTGACAATAGCATACCTTTTTATGCATATAGAATCTGCAATTAATTTCTGAAAATGGTGTCATTTTATAGGCTCAATGATTATACAAACACAATTAATATATTTCCCGTGTAAGATACTTATTACATAGGTTGTTTTTTTTTATTGGCTTTTACAGCTTGTCCAGCCTGATAGAACATTTATTCGTTATGACCAGGTCTCCATTACAGTAAGTTAATTGTTGGTATTTATTACATTTTCATCTTATTATAATGATAAATTATTAGACACGCTTTTGTAATTATATAGGTACATATAAGGTTAATAAAGCTAACAATTGTCAACCTAATAATAATATAATGAAAGCAAGCTTGCAGTGTACAATGAATCATAATGTGGAAATAAGTGAACTACTTTGAAACAAAAACCTTTTTTATATCTAAATAAACTTAATCTATCATTTCCTGATTCTCTGCCTGTCTAACCTTATTTATGTAATATTTTATGTATATATATATATATATATGTCATATTGTCAATTATGCACAAAGCATGTTATATTATTATAGCGTTTTGGTTTGTTCTTGTATTATTTCTACAAAATAAGGTATTGTATTTTAGTGAGTATTAATGACAATAAAAATGAAGCGTTCATCATCTCTATCAGAATTATATAGAAAACTCATTTTTGCATTAATATTTTACTTCATGATGGTATTCAAAACAATCATCCCAATGTTACATATTTCTTTAGGAAATGTGACTTATATTTCGTTGCTTAGAAATCTATAGCATTTATACGGAAATAATTCACCCCATAAATCCATTTGTAGTCCATACGTATGTATATATTTATTGTGGTTTACGGGATATAGGTTTTTACATGTTTAGAATGTAAACATATTCAAACCGCTCATATTACCTTAACAGGGTGGGCTAGGCATCAAGAAAGATCGGTGTATCTTTCTCTTCTCTGATCTTTTGATTATTACCAGTATAAAGAAGAGAAGTGGAACGATACGAAAGCCGTCAACATCATCGTAAGTCTCTTTTTACTTTTCCCCAGTTCCCATTGAAAGTTGCTAAAATGTAAATTTAGAAATTGATATGAATAGATAAAACATTATGTAAAAAAGGCCCATTAAGAGTATGCAGTCTCACTTATTGAAGTCGTTTTATGAAACCTTTCAAAATGCGGATAGATATGTTTTCGTTTTGTAAATGTAATGAACTAATAACATTTTATGAGATTATAGGAGCATATGTGTAAACATTTCTTTCTTTGTAAAGTGAATGCATAAATAAATATCAGTAACATGTGGATTTACCTCGAAAGACCGCACTCATAAGCATCTCTTCATAAAAGTATATACAGAGTCATCTCCAAAACAAACTCAGCTATCTGTTGAAGTTATCTATTATTAGCAGTGTTGCACTCAACGATCTACTCTTTGTTCCATTAACATAGTTATCTTGTAATTCACCGAATTGATTATTTTATTTTACTTTGCTACAGTTTGGTCTTTCAATAATATGGTTGTTAGTGATAAATAAATTCAACAGAAAGTTAACTTTATTCTACTGAAAGACTCGGTACTCACATATCATATTTTGTAAGTCCTTACAGCCCTATGAAATGTGCACCGTGTATGTTACGACACAATGTACACACGTTCTTGGAACTAATTGCTCTAATGAAAGAAAATGAAACTGTTAGTGAAACACAAAATGGCACGGCGATGCCCGACTCTTCATTCAATTTTAGAAACTTACGAATAAAAGCAAAGTAGAATATGTTATAACGTGTCAACCACATTTCACCAGCTAAATCCACGAGATAAACAACATTGGAAACTTTTCTTTATAAATTCAGAATAAGAGAAGACGTTATCGTGACATTTTCTTTTCCATTTTTCGCTGTGTGTAAAACGTATTTATCTAATTACAGGGCCCGGCATGGCCAGGTGGTTAGGGCACTCGACTCGCAATCTGAGGGTCGCGGGTTCGAATCCCCGTCCCACCAAACATGCTCGCCCTTTCAGCCGTGGGGGCGTTATAATGTGACGGTCAACCCCACTATTCGTTGGTAAAAGAGTAGCCCAAGAGTTGGCTGTGGGTGGTGATGACTAGTTGCCTTCTCTCTAGTCTTATACTGCTAAAGCAGGGACGGCTAGCGGAGATAGCTCTCGTGTAGCTTTGCGCGAAATTCAAAAACAAACAAACAGAACATTCTAATCACAAATTTATAATAAAGATATATATATATATAGAATTAATTATATTTTGATATGTCTATTTTAAGTTGTCCATATTTTAAAATTACAAACATGTATTAAGCAATAGTTAAAAGTTAACTCATATATCAAGAACATTGTTAAAATATGATACTTTTGTTATTTTATTTAATGTTATGTATAAAATAACTGGTATTATTCGCAAAGTAACTGATATGATTTAACGTGCGTTATCAGAAATGTTCAACACGTATCGCTTTATTTTTATAACTGTTAATTAGTGCTCATTCTCGGATTTGCGAAACTTTTGGGATTTCTATGTTGTAGCCCTCTCGGTGACTCAGAAGTAACTCTGAGGACTTATAACGTTATAAATCGGATCTCTATACCCGCGGTTGGTAGAGCACAAATACCCCATTGTGTAGCTTTGTGCCTAACGATAAACATGAAAAATATATGCTCTATTTAACTGTAAATTTCATCTAAAAAAATGTTAACAAAAGCAGGAATGCGAAATTAAGAACGTTAAACAGAAATGAAATCACCTTTAGTGATTTTTCATCATCTCATTCGTTGATTATATTGAATTAAATCAAGTCTAGGAACCGCAGGGGAAACGTATGACTTAGAATTTTACAAAAACATATTTTATTTTGCGGCATGATACAGAAACAATTACATAAAAACTGTTTGAAAACTTTCATTAAATATTATCACTAAAAAACAGCCACTTTAATATCGGTTCTTCCAATGAGAGTGTCTAAAGGTAAATCAAATAGATGCGGAATTCCTCAGTCAGATATTAATTTAAACAAAATTCATATTCCGTTTCAACGTGAAGTAGCACCCTTTGAAAACTTAAGCATAATCACTATGATTTAGTATAGAATAATAGCACTAAACGTGAAATCTACACAACATGACAATATTTTGCTATAATGCTGAATGTACATTCTTAACACTGCACAATAACATTTTAATATCGTACATTAACTTTACACTATAATACTTTACGTTAAGATTCTACTATAATACTTTTGTACGCTAACCTTTCACGATTAAACTCTATGTTACATATATTATAATATTGCACATTAACATACACCAAAATATTGTGAGTGAAGAGTAATCTTTAAAATACTAAGCTTTGTACAGAATATTTTTCAAATATCGTGTTATGTTTTAGGACAATAAAATAAATTAAGACCTTATCTATGCAACAAACGAGTTAGGCTTACCAAATTAGCAAAGAAGTAAAAGAAGGACACATGGGAATTTAACAGAAGCTATATAAAAGAAGATAAAATTTGGGAAAGAAGGTTACAGAAAATAAGCTGTAGCAAGAAAATACCAGCATCGTATATGTGGTGGCTGATTGAATTAATAGCCGATAAAAACTCTAGAGGGCTGATGTTTTGTTTTTGTTTCTAATTAAGCACAAAGCTACACAATGGACTATCTATGCTCTGTCCATCACGTTTATCGAAACCCGGTTTCTAGCGTTATAAGCCTACAAACTTATCGCTGTGCTACCGGGGGGCTAGAGGGCTGATGCAAGCAGAGTTGTAAAAAAAATTCTAAAGTACTTTTCTAATTCGAAAGTTGCCAAATATATAGACTGTAGAGGTTTCGTGAATAAAACTCATTAGTAAAAACTAAAATTAAAACACATTAAATAAAGAAAGGTTTGGCCATTGCTTACTGTTGCTGAGCTCTCGCATCTACATCCTGTATCGCCCGTCTTGATTGTTCAAACAAGAAACCTTTCTGATAGTGGTAAAAAACCTTTTCCTACACCATATATCAGAGTCATGTAATGTTTCTAATGAAAATGTGACATAAATATGAAGTCAACTAGCTAAAGTAAATGTATACAAGTTGGATGATTGCAGAAAAGGAGTAAACAAATATAACTCTCGAATCAGTTGCTTCTTGCACTGCAAAATCTAGATACCTCAGTCACTTAGAGTTATTGTATCTAATCAGTATTATAGCTAAACACGTATTATAGCTAAACACCAATTCTCTAACCTGTGTGTGTGTGTTACAACTACTCATAACATTTCTCAGTAACTTGTATTACCGCACGATCTTGACACTTGATCAGTAGGTGTTTCCTTTTAGGCATCCGAAGAGTTTTAAACTTTCGGAATTCCTTTCAGATCAATATCGGTTCCTCTAAGGAATGTCCTGATCTTAGCTTTAACATCGGTCGATTTTAACTGAATTGGTTGATAATTTTCTTAATCTATGGAAAAATATTAAAATCCCTTAAACACATGAATATGTTTTTTACCTTAGAATATTACTTATAATGCTGCTCGACTGTAACTTCGGCTTCAATCAGTCGAGATTACTACAAACACACGGGTGCTTTGAACAGTTTAGTAAGAAACAGTTATTTTCACACGTGTTTTTCACTTCAAGAAGTCTTGCGGTTGGTCAACGGTAAATTTACTGACTAACAACCAAATTCCGGGGTCGATTCTCCGCTTTGAACATAATGCATATAGCCTATTGTGTGGCTCTGCGATAAAAATAAAAAATATGTAATATACTAGCATGTCAAGCTTTGAAAATGTAATGCCATTTAATATCACATTTGGTACTTTTAAGAAGTTTGTTAAAAAAAATAGTGTTCTTAGAGTAATCACTTTTAATTGTTTACAGCTGGAAGGTTTTTACCAAGTTCTTGGCCATATGTGTTTTTGTTAACATCTTTTTTGCATTAATTCAGGTCACATAACACTAAGGGCTTGAAATAATGTATGAAAACCGAGTATGCTTTCCGCAAACATTTATTATGGATGGGTACATGCTAGAAACAATTATTATATAAATTAAACTTTAAATTAAAAAGAAAAAATCCGTTTCAGGGGACAACCAAAAGTATAAATATTAAACTTTAAAGAACTGAAAAGAATAGATTAAAATCAAAATTAAACAAGATAAAGGCTTTGAAAAACATCAACATGTACGAGATTGATATATGTGTGTTCTATGAATAGAAAAATAGATGCAAATAAATTATAAAAAATCATAACTAACTGATTGGTTTAATTTATTTTAAATGTGCCAATCTTCTTAAAACCATCTTTTGACATAAAAAAGCATTTAGTTAGTTTGTTTGCCCACCGAAGGTATCTAAACACGATTTTTAGCCATATAAGCTTTCAAACTTGCCGCTGATCCAGCCGAATCAGCCAAGTCATTTAATACTAAAATTAGTTGTTGTTTTTTGTAATTCATACTAATAATGAACTTTATAAAGAGAAAAGTTTGTTTGTTT